GATATCTTAAGATGCTCAGGTTTTAACGTGTCCAGGTCTAGGCCCTAGGGCTTGTTTTCGAATCCGTGCTGCCAGGCGAGAGCGGTGGGCAAGTGCTTCGGCGACGGGAAGTTTCAACATGAATCGTGCCCAGCAGCTCCTTAGCCAGTACCGCGTCGCAGGCGAGGAGCTCTACAATCAGGCAGTCCGTGGCAAGATGCCGGAGGCGTCCTACGCGGCCATGGAAGAGTACGCTCAGGAAATGCCATGCACGACATGGAACACGATGGACACAAGGATGCGGAGCTCAGATCCTGCAATGCTTATGTACGATGCGTTCGGGTGCGGGGAAAGGCTCCACTTCATCAACGTTCCAGAGGCAGCCCCTCCGTCGACCTCGACACCAAGTCATGAGGTCACTTGCATCATGGAGAGCATGCGCCTCGTGCAAGCCATGGCGCCTGAGCAGGCCGCCAAAATATTAATCGATACAGCTGCCCTTCAGGGGCCATATGAGGACTGAGCAGTGAGCTCTTTGTACATGCGACTTTGTACATTTGTGGTGACCCTTAGTGGTACCGTTGCTCTGTGCAGTAATTAAGCGAAGTGACCTGACATTGGCTGGATTCGATCAACCATTGGCCCGACCGGGCCCTGCACCCCGTCGAAAAAGAGCCGTATGCAAGTCTGCTGGAACGTCTGGTCGCGTACTGCGTAGCATGCACGTAGGTGCATATGCTGTACCAGTGACTCAGCTAGCAAATCAAGCAGTTAGCAACTCAAACCGTTTCATTAACTGGTGACTCAGCGAGCTACTTGTTTGAGCGATTTGTGTTACTTAGCAATCTTGATTGCAAGCAAAGTGCATGCTGATCATCATGACTGTGATGGTTATGGTGCACAGGGATTTGGAGACAAAGCACAGACTGCTGGAATGGTGTCGTAGTCTCACATGGTAACCTTCACTTACCTTCGGGGCAACGCACTTATTCCAATCACTGGTCAGGTTGGCAGTTGTGCTGCCATGTTCACTGCGCGTACGAATGCCAAGACCTCAGACATCAGATGGTGTTGACGCTTTGGGCTCAGGGTTCAGTGTTCAGAACTCATATTTCGGGATTACGGTTTCGGAGCTTCGGAACCCCGTGCCCGAGCCCCGAAACGCTAGATGACCTGTGGCACGAGCTGGCGAACGTGGTTTCGTCGTACCAGCAACCTAGACAGGCTTGTCCCTGTTGTGCCGACAGCGCGCCAAGAAGCTCGCCTGGCGTGTCCGAGCGTGAGAACCTCAAAGCCGTAAACCTTCCAGCACACCCTCAACCCGCAAAACCCTGAAACCCTAAACCCTCATGCCCGACTCACGTTCAGGCATCCTTATCGGCTCCTACAGCAGGGGCATGATCGATATGGAGGAACGCGCTTGCGTCCGCCTGATGGGGCCCTAAGCTTCTAAGATTCTAGGATTTAACATTAAGGGTTTGTGGTGCAGGACTTGGGTTGTAGGAATTGGTCAGAAAATACAACGTGATGAAGCAGACCAATCCCGTGTACATGACTCTGGCGGTTAATTCGTGTCAGCCTCTGCTGAGAAACTCAAGAGTTGAGCTGCATGTTTTGGTGTGGTTCCAGATGCCTAGCTCAATGTTGCGAGGCATGGGAAGTAAGGGCAGCAGTCGAGTCCCTTGTGAAAAAAAGGAATTGGTATTGTGGGTTTAGGCTTTGGGAACTTGGGGTGTGGCGCTTGGAGAGAAGTCCGGATTTTTTGGGGCAGAGCCCCAAACCGAGCTGCTTCACCCGCCAAACTCTAGCATCACTGGTAGCCCTGAGCTCCTGTTCAGGAGCTACAGAGTGTGGAGTGCCACTTTCTTCGGAGCCAAGCCTTGGGACTCTGAAATTCAGGCAAGAACAGCGGTTGGAAATGGGTCCTCGTTGCAGATGCCATGTTCGCTTTAGGGTTGCTTCATTCTTGCCAAAGATGCCCCGCAGGCATGTGTGCGGCATGCTTGTCTGCACAGTCTTGCTCAAATGCTGGCCCGTTGCAAGTTGTGAGCCCAGCGCGAAACGATGCCAAGCGGTGGTCGCCGCCACGCAGACTACAGCTATGGACGGTGGGATCACGGCGGCTATTGGCAGTGGACGCCGGCAAGTACTCGCAGGCCTTTGCGAAGCCCACAGACAGAGAAACAATCGTTGTCAGTGGCTTATTTGGGCTAGTCTCTTTTCTCCTACACTGTCACGGCCCTGAAACTTAAGATATCTTAAGATGCTTCAGCTCTTCACGTGTCCTGCTCAAGGCCGTAGGGCGTGTTTTCGAATCCGTAGTGCCAGGCGAGAACGGTGGGCAAGTGCTTCGGCAACGGGAAGTTTCAACATGAATCGTGCCCAGCAGCTCCTTGGCCAGTACCGCGTCGCAGGCGAGGGGCTCTACACTCAGGCAGTCCGTGGCAAGATACGGGAGGCGTCCTTCGCGGCCATGGAAGAGTACGTTCAGGAAATGCCATGCACGCCATGCACGACATGGAACACGATGGACACAAGGATGCGGAGCTCAGATCCTGCAATGCTTATGTACGATGCGTTCGGGTGCGGGGAAAGGCTCCACTTCATCAACGTTCCAGTTCCAGAGCCAACGCCTCCGTCGACCGACACCAAGTACTGAGGTTAACGTCATCATGGAGAGTATGCGTCTCCT